CTATCAGGTCGACCTCTACGCGGTACCCCTGGAACATCCATCCAATCCATCCATCATGGTTAATTCTTGTGGAATTCGTCACAATAGGCTAACTGATCCACTTTTATCTTCACCTGGTGCTCCACCAGCGTATACTGATAGCAAAGACGAGGTCACCATTCCATTATCACTCATTAAAAAATCGCTACACCAAATTGCTAGCAATATATTTGAGGGAGGGAGGGATCGTTAGTAATGTGAACTACCAGTCCCGTTGCTAGCAATATACCCTGTCAGTTTGACCTCCACGTGGTCCCCTAGAAACCGTCGTATTTAATTCCAGATGCATTCATGACGATGGGCTAATTGATCTGCCTGGGGGGAAAGGGATTGTTAGTGATGGAGACTGAGAATCCCATTGCTGGCAATATACCTAGCTGGGTCGTCCTTCTTGCGGTTCCCCCTGGAAACTATCATGGTTAATTCCTGATGAATTCATCATGATGGGCTAACTGACCTGTTTTCATTCTCATCTGTCACCCTTCACTGGTGCTCCGCCAGCGTATCCCGTTAGCGCAGGCGGGGCTACCATACCATTTTCACCCATCAAAAAAAAATTGATCTTCCTTTCCATCCTCATCTATCATCGCTCTCTGGTGTCCCGCCAACGTGTAACGATAGCGCAGACGGGGTTACCGTTTCATTGTCATCTATTAAAAATTAAATTCAAGGGGTATTCCTTTTAAGACGACCACCATGCGATTTGCTCGGGAACTCTTTGTGGAATATATCACGGTAGGTGAACTGATTTGCTTTCATCCTCACCTGTATCTGTCATTGGTGTTCCACCAGTGTATACTGATAGCGCAGGCGGGGTTACCATTCCATTATCATCCCATTAAAAAACCCTACCCCCTAAGGGGTAAAAGGGATTCTTTTCTGTATTCCTATAGTGATAGGGTAGATTGTGCTACCAGTCTTAGTAGTTCAGAGAGAGACTTTGTACAAAAGTCGATTGCTTGGGTACCTCTGTCCCATTCGTGTTTCAACCGTGAAGCAGTTGTGTTTGCATGGCTGTGTTTCGGTTTGAAGGGTGGGATATGGCGTGAATTTACTGGGTACAGAGGAATAACAGCTGAGTCCTTTGGAATGGCTACGCATGGGGGGTATCATGGGCGAAACAGTATACTCTGTTATGTGCATGGTACTGCTCATGTCTATAGGCGACGGTTACCACTTTCCATCAGGTGGACCGTCAGCTGGTTTGCCATTCTAAGTTGTATAAAAAAAAAAGTCACATTGCTAGCAATATACTTTATCAGGTTGATCTCTACGCAGTCCCTCTGGAAACCATCATGCATCTGGAATGCATCATCAATTCTAGGTGAATTCATCACGATAGGGTAATTGACGTACTTTTTTTATTTTCGTCTGTCATCACTCACTGGTGCCCCGCCAGCGTACATCGATAGCGCACGCGGGGTTACTATTCTGATAATACCATAAAATACCTTTTACCCCCAGTCAGACAGAAACTTGGATGTTCTTTGATGTCACTTACTTGTACCGTAGTCTGAATTTTCATAATACTGTGTGTTGTAAAAGCAATAGATTAGAAGGGAAGGGATTATTAGTAACGGGGACTAGAGGCCCCATTGCTAGCAATATACCCAGTCAGAAAACATTATAGTTAATTCCCGGGATATTCGTCACGATGGGCCAGCTGTTCTGCTTTCACCCTCACCTATCATCCCTCACTGGTGCTCCGCTAGCTTATACCGATAGCGCAGGCGAGGTTACTATTGCATTATCATCAATAAAAATTATATATTTATTTAACATTTTTTTTTAGATAAGTCCCGCAGAGTTACACCAATTTTTTTTATTTTTATTTTATTTATTTATAATATTATGTCTATTAGGAAAGGTTTTATTTGCTGCCTGCCTTGGTGAGTATAATAAAAAAAAAATAAAAAGAAATAATATTCTGTCATGTACATACATATGTATATACGTTTTATAGAGTAAAAAATAATTATATAATTATTGTCAATTGTTTATAGTATTCTTCGGTTTTACTATATTTGTAAAAAATACTGTATAAGCAAAAAAAAAAAGAGTTAAATCAGTCGTCTTAAATGATAAAAATTACGAAGCTTATTTTTGAAATTTTTTATTTATTTTTTATTCTTGGAAAGGGGTAAACGAGTATACGGCTCATCTAATGGTAAGTGGTTACCGTAGCCTATAAACGCCTGCAATTATAAAGTGATATCAATTTATTATTTTGATATATTATAAATATTAATTTATTAAATTAAAGAAATAAATTTTCATTTAACTTAAATAATAATTTAATTATTAATTACTTTATACATTTACACATTACAAGGACAGAAAAAAATATATAGGTACATAAATATTTTAAAAGTGATTTAAGTTTTCTATTATATTATGAAATATATTATATATATAATATATTAAATATATTATACAGTATAATATATAAAAAAATAATAAAAAAATATTTTTAGTAATAATTATTTAGAAAAAGCTTATATTATTAACTTAATATAATATATTTTATTCATAATATTTTAGGCATCCACTTCCATTTGCCAACCCTCTCACATGGGGATTTCAAACTTTAGATTTAAGAAGGTAGACACGTGTGTGCAATAGGTTACCTACCGTTTCAATGTTGTGTCATAGTGTAAGAGCTGCTGTAAGAAATCCCACTAGTATTATTAATGTAAAAGAATTTTAAGATTTTTAGACGTCAAATAAAAATGAATTATATATAAAAAGTAGAATGGATTTAAATTAAATTTGCTATATAGATAGACCCATAATTTAGATATAACCTAGATGAATATACTGGTTTATTTTGTCTTTACGTACGCAGACAATCATGTCGGATTCTACTAGTAAATTAAAACGAAAAAAGAAATTAAGATATTTGGGTTTTTAGATTTGCCACAACCTTTAGGAAGGAGGGATTTTGGTTGAAAATTGGCACATAGATGAAATTTACCCTAGGTACCGTTTATCCCCGTAACCAGTTCCCGTGGGATAGCTTTTAATAAGCTCATACTAACGGCATAAAAAGTAATTTACAGGCATTATAAATAATTCCATGAAACAATAAAGAGGAAAATGTAAATAAAAAAAATCAATCATTGATATATTTATAAACTAAATACAAAAGGGGTTTTTAATCTATAAATATTAGTATAATAAGTAAAGCTATTAATTTATCATCCATAATTTAAAACTATTACACCCAATAGAAAAACAAATATTCAGAGGGTTCTTTAAAAAGGATGGAAGGAAGGCAGAGTATGTGGAAGAATTTTTCGTTATTCATCACTTACGGGGGTGAAAATGTGGCTTAAAGTTTACATGTAAGACTTTCAATTTTAAACTTTAAAACTTAAAAGTTCATATTCAGATTAAACTAAGAAACGAATATTTTGTCATTTGAGACATCGAGGAATGGCCCCTAGGTGTTGAAGTTGGGGGTGAAACTAGGGTACTCACTCCCTATCGCTATAGGGTGCACTTAATCCCTGACTAGTTGAAAAAATTTAGTTAAATCTCCCTATTTATCCCTATAAATACTTGTACTTCGTACCAAAATGATATAATTAATATTGTATTAAGTATATAATTTTTAGTAGGTATCAATTATTAAATTAATAAAAGAATAAATAATATCGTTTGTTAAAAAAATATATCTAAAATCAAATAATAAAATATCTATCCATTTTCAGCAATATTTTACTTTTTTTTCTTTTAAATAATCAATATCTAGTATTATTGTAAAATTCTGGTGTATTGATATATTTTTTGTTATATTAAAATTCTTATCGTTTTTACATTTCAGTGCTGGGCATCTAATTGACAGTAATAACGTAATACAAGTCCAATAAAATACATAAAATGAATTTTGTGTACTTGGTCTCACATTTTTACTATTAATATTTATTTATTTAAATGATAGGTATATCTTCTAATTACTTTATAATACATAGACGGTTTCTTTAATATTTTTTATTTATTTACTTTTAATTTATTAAGTTCTACAGAGTATACTGCTTCAGGTTAAGAATGTGTAGTATTTTTTTTTATTATTTTCACAGAACATATACTAATATTTAAATAAAAAAGTGGCCTAAATATATTAGCCAAAATTTCATATAATAAATATATTTTTTTACCTTATAAAAAGTTAATTAGAAATAATAGAAATAACTTTAAAATCTATTTTATTAACTAATTTAGTATTAATAATAACAGTAAATATATATACCTACTAGATGTACAGAACTAATTTGTGATAAATTAGAAACTATATTAAATAAATAAATAGTTACACGTTATAAGGAAGAATAATTATGATTTTACTACATATTTATTGCATATATTTTTTTAAGGAAATATAATTAAGAAAAAATATAAATTAGGCTTTAGGTATTTCTGAGAATACAAACAAATTTATATAAAAAATTACTTGTTATATATAAAAAGATAAGTATTTGTAAACATAACTATTTATAAAATATTTATATTTAAATAGGTAAATATACAAAAAAATATAGAGGCTTTCAAAATAATAATCTAATTAGTAAAATAATTAAAACTAAATATAAGATTATAGTTTAATACGTAATAAGTAAACATTTAATATTATTTTAAGGGCATATAAAGTTAAGTATCTGTATAAATATACAGGTAAATTATGTTATTTAAATAAAATAAATAAATTAAAGTGGGATATAAACTTCAGTGATTATTTTAATATAAATTCTAATTTATTGAGTTAAAATTTTTAATTTTTTTACTTAAATATATATATTTTTTTGTATAATTTTCATCAACCCTTCGCTCACCGGGGGGTCCATATTTTAGGTATTAGGTAAAAACATATATACCTACGGTTTTCGATGCCTCTTTTAGGCATAACATAGACCGCGAGGTCGACGTTACAAGGTTAGTGGTCTCCGCGCAGGCGCGAGCCGCCAAGACTGTTTTGCCGCCATTCCAGCAGAGTGACTCGCGCGCGCGCCACCTCTAGCCGTCAAAACGTAGCGCTCATTCCCCCTATCCCTTCTGCATCCCTCTCTATCCCTCACACGTACGCCCCTACACGTCCTGGTTTCGCGAACATTTCGTAATTGCACGCGTTGCATCGCCAAACAATCCGTCCGAATTCTGCCACCTATCCCACCCAAAGAGACTAATCCTGGCCGTGTTCGAGTTTGATAACATTAGGTCTTAAGGTACCAACTTCCCAGTTGATCCATTTTGAAGAAAATACGTACAGTGTCACTATTGACTTCGGGTTCTAGTGCGACCATCGCATTCACGCGTTAATTCCATTTGGTTACTCTAGAAAATCGTGTATGGGCTTATATTGAAGGTTTGGAGCCCTTATCAGGGCCTTATCCATTATTATCGGTCGTATAGTTTTATCTGGATTGTGTTGCAAGTGATAGTTTTGGCGATGTGGCGCGCGCGCGTCTCCACCGTTCGCTAGTTAGGCCTAAATATACCGCGGCGCGTCGGTAACGCGAAATTTTTGCACGAATGCGATACAAAAGTGTCCAATAAGATTCTTATAGGCCTATTTAGAAAAGTGATGGATCACCCCCCACGGACCCCCAAGTATACGAATAAAATGGTTTTCGAACGAACAACGTATTAAAACATTGTTTTTTTAACGATTTTGTGAAGTGACTGTGAATAGACTGCGCCGAACTAGTTTGAGTGTTCTGGATATTTTTATGTCTGGATGTTTCTGGATTATTCTCATCGTACACGTAAGTACAGCTTCTGTTTTATATGTTTTGCATAAAAAAATACCCTACAACATATTTTTATATAGTTTTAAGGAACATTTCCTAGTGTTAAAGCGTGGGTGCATCGTGCTTCACAAAAACATTTTTTTTTAATTTATCATCATTAATTATAAAAAGAATATTATTTAAATATACAATTTAAGATCATATACATATTATATAATAAGAATTTGTAACTTATTCTCAAGAATAAACATTAAAAAACACTTGTAAAAAAGTAGGCCTCTATCATTACTCTATCTTTTGGTTTAACTCTGATTTTCTTTTTAAAACAGAACAACTGGTTTATGTAATATACAAAATAAAGCACTTTATTATAAGAATATTCTTTTTAAATATTATTATAAGGATATATTTATAACACCTAAAATATTGATTAAAAAGTCTCTTAATTCTTGTAATAAATATCCAGAACTCATGTAAATTACCGTAAAAAGTATCCGGAAATAATATATAATTGATATTTAATAAAAAATATAAAAATGTACACTATAGTTTATCCATTGTTACAAAAGTTAAAAAATATCTATTAAAATAAGTAGGTATTTATTAAATTATAAATACCTACAACAGCCCGTAGATTTAAATAGAATATTCTGGTTAATTTCGCCCATTTATATCTCGAATATGGCCTATGTATGTATAAATATACTATTTAATGTTTTGTTCCAAAAAATAACCACATACTGTAAATTTATAATATCTTGCATTTGTTGTTTTATTTAAAAAACTCAGCGTGAACCTTCGTATATGTATTTATTTCGATTTAATTGTAAAAAAAGAAATAATTAGTTCAATATACGTTTCTGTATCTATATATATTAGCAGTAGGTATATATTTATGTTGTAATGTGTATTTAAAAATCCACAAAATTGTATGAAAATAATTATATATTTCATTAAAAATACATAGACGGACATAACTTCTAATAAAAAATATAAATTATCAATTTTCATCTTCTATAAATTTATATTTATATTCTAGAGTTTAATTCCATTATATATATAAATTTTTATAAACTTACATTACATTTTTTGGACGTATATTAATTGTGAATATAAATTGGAATTAACCCCTAGACGCGTTGGCATTAATAGGCATTTTTTAAATTAAAATATTGTTTTATATTATAATATCTGTATATGAACTTTTTACGTGTTCATATTTATGAATAATTACATCGTATTACATGTTATAAATTAACTAATAAATTAGACATTTGGTTGAGTTAAGGTAACACTAAATTATACATCTCATCTAAGGGTCGTATCTCTAAGATTGGGAAGAATAAGGAAAAGAACTAAGTAAATTAGCTCTTTAGTTATAGATTATATATATTTAGTTATAGATAATATAAAAAAATATATTGAAATGTATTTTACTTAATACAAATAATCCATTCTAAAAATGTACCTATTACAATGTTTCTTTTTTCTTTATTAAATATACGAAAATATTCTTGAAAGACAATCTAATATACTTAAATGATTTTTTGACATATATAATCTACCTCAAATTCTTTAAATATATAGAAGAAACTTAATAATGATAATAACGTTATTTTAAGCTATTATAGTTTGTAGATTTCTTTGAAAAAAAATATATATATTGGTAAAAATATACTAAATATATAATAAAAATAAAACACAATCATCTACTCGATATAATTGTCCTTTAAAATGTATTAAATAAGTATCAGACATCCTGGTGGTATTTAGATATATTTTTCGTAATTTTATTTGCATTTTGGTTAAATATACCTACCTATCTACGTGAATATAATTTAATAAAAATATAAAAAAATATATAAATATATTTTATAATGCACGAGAAATATATATTTTCCATTAAAAATATATTTATTTGTAATAATAGGGACCTTATATGTCTTTATCATTATTTTTTGACCATATGGACAATGTTTTTCGATGTGTAATAGACAGATTTTAAGTACATATAGGTAGGTAGTCTACTACTTACGTAAAAATATTTGATAAGTTATATAAAATATGCACAAAGTAAAAATTGTAAAAAATTATTGTAAGAAATTGGACTGATGCGGAAATGTTTCTAAGAGGCTTGGTAACACGCAGAAGACAGTGCTAACTCTCGTTCTCTCTTGCAATTTTCATTATAGTATTATTCAGTAATTATTACGAGACACTGCAATATAATATAAATTATATATATTATTTACTGTGATATGTATATAACATCGAGCCATTATATAATATTTTTTATCTAATTTTAAAACGGTACAAGAATTGGAGTTCTTTTTATCTTAGTAATATATTTCCGTCCAATCCATTTAGAAATATAAATAGAATGGTCCACTATTGTATGTATACCAATTTATATATGTAATAATGAGGTCATTTTCAAACTTTGTAGATTTCTTTGAGGCGATAAATATCCAATAGGTATGTAAGGAAGCGTTTTATATATTTCATGTACCAATGATTATTGAAAATGTACCTATACATATGTGAAGATATATATGTTTTTTTTTTTCATTACATATGTATCTAATGCAATAATGCATATGCAAAATAATGAAATTTAAAATATTCAAAAGTAATATATAAAAAAATATATTTAAATTATTTACACTAGCTATAAATGTTTAAAAGTAAAAGTAAAATAAATAAATAGACATTTATCTGTATGTACCATACTTATTTTAAAATAATAGTATTTAATAGTATAGTATTAATATAAATAATTATAAATATAAGTTTAATTATATAATTATTCAGTTTAGAGTTCATAATATTAATTATAAATAACTATAAAATTAATATTATGTTTAATTTTATATAATAAATAAAAAAAAATCTATTGAATATAGAACTCAGCACCATCTACTTTCTAACTCAGCAGAGCACTATGAGTACGGGACAAATAATAAAGTTAGTTAAATACTATTTTTTTCTTAAATTTTTATTATATAAAGAAATATCCGTACTACTTACCAGGATCTATCTCCTATCCGTACCTGTCCACCGTCTTCTCTGTTAGAATAGGTACAGTTATTATGTAAATACGAGTACATATGTACAACTTATGTACTGGATAGTGTAATGTAGTTACTATACAAACAGTATCTATTGTATATACGTCATAACAGTGAATTCCATTTCCCTTTCTTTCAGTGCTTATATAAACAGATATATGTATGTATGTCTTTATCTATCTGCAGGCTAAAATTTATCTTACATTATTTGTAATATTATTCCTTATACAATATTTTTATAATTTATAATCTAATATATATAAATAATAATAAAATAAACCATTTTATATATAAAAATATAATAAAGTATCTTCAGATATACCATACCTATTTACTTATCTTTTCTGCTTATATATTTTTTAATTAATATATAATAAATATTATACAATATTACTATTTTTATTATTAAATTATATATTTTTAGTTTTAATTATATATTATTAAATTATATGCAGTCAACTAATACTGTCACCACAACTGTGACAGTTGATAATGCTTACAGCTATCCTCACTTACATTTATAGTCGTGAATATACTTATATATTAAAAAAAATATATACTTATTATTTATAAAATTTGGAAAATAAAATAGAAAGGTATATTTTCCCCCCATTACTAAGATCGTTTTGTGTAGAAAAATGGCTGATGCAATTGTCGTACATATTTAACATTATCCAAGCCGTTATTTACTTTATAATTGTGATTGTGAGTTTGTTTGTTTGCTTGGTGCTTTCATGGCTCATTAAATAGTCATAAATTTTGGCATACAATTAGTGTTTGGGACAGAGAAGGATATAGGCTACATATTATCACAGTCATATGAGCGAAGTCGCCGGAAGAACTAGTTTATTTTTATTTTCTTTGATATTTTACATTAATAAATAAATAAAATAAAGTATATATACACGTATGGTGGGATATGACATTGGAATTACGGACTATGAAGGATCCCATCTTAATTCTTAAGAATAGCAACGCACAAAGAGTGTCATGGGCGTCATAGTATATTCTGTGACGTTCACGGCATTGGTTATGTCTATAAGCAACGGTTCTCACTTTCTATCAGGTGAGCCGACAGCTTGTCCGCCACTCTTAGTTGTATAAAAAAATAGTTACTCTGAGAATAATATAATGACAATTAAAAATATAATGTTGATATTTTTAATTGTCAAAATCTATATTTAATTGTCAAAATATATACTGTATATAAAAAATATATATCTTCCGTTAATGTTAATTTAACATACTATTGTATCATATGTACCTAATTTATTCAATTTTAAAATAATAATACTAGTTATATAAAATTAATATAGTGGCCGCACTCCAAACAGAAAGCTTACATATTATTTTTTAAATGTTATTATTATTATTATTAAAATTGAATATTTTTATTATTTAAATAAATGCTTATTATTATGTTATAATAATAATAAATGTTATAAAATTATAAATGTGTAAACCAAAATAATAATTATTATGAATAAAATATATTAAATCAGTGCTGAAAATAATGATTTAATAAAACAGATATATTTTATGGAAATAACCATATACCCCCATTAGTATATATGGTAGCAAGTGTTGAGTGCCAAAAAAGAGAAATGAGAGTAAAAGAATTGAGAGCATTGTGAAGTATCTCGTATTCGTAACACAGTATTGTGAGAGCAAGTTGGCCTAAAGTGTCGGTGTATATGTTAAATAAGAAAGAGCATGTTTTTTTTTTATAATGAATGATAATAAAATAGTTACACCGTTTGCGCTATCTATCTATATACGCTGGCGGGGCACCAGTGAGGAATGGATAGGTGAAGATGAAAAGGCAAGTCAGTTAGCCCATCGTGATGAATACACCTAGATTTCAACATAATGGTTTCCAAGGAGGACCACGTGGAGGTCAACCTGACAGGGTATATTTCTAGCAATGGGACTGGTAGTCCGTTTTAC